ATGGATTCACCGAAGGATTTACTCCAAAGACCTGATTCTCTGTTCTATGGTTTGGCCAAAGAATTCGGAATTATTTCATGAATTTATTTATATTTTAAAATGTTTTAATTATTTGTTTTATTATTATTATTCATCTTTTATATAAATGTTTAAAACAATTTTTATATCTAATATTTTTTATATAATTTTAATTAATTAAAGACTATTCCAAAACTGAATTTTCAAAACCTCTATAACCAGTATGTCATTGACTTGAGACAAGAATTCATTAATTCATGAAATATAATAATTAAACCTCTAATTCATGAAACATAGTGGTTATAGATGTGTGCGATTAGATTTATTTTTGTTTTACGACTATAAAATTAATTATAATTGAATTCTTATGAACTATAATTATGACTAGAAAATCATTATATCTTATGTTATTTAATCTATATATAATAATTATATTCATAATAAATGACGGGAATAGTCAACAATTTAGATGGTATAGCGATGATCCGGATATTGATCGAAATGCGGTATTTCTAAACATTTTATTTGTATTCAATACAATCTTAATCATATATTTTATCATTTTTCTATTATTAAAATAAATAAATGCAATTTAATTAAAAATAAACGTAACATTGACTTAACTGATTAAAGACTGATATCATAATATCGCGAGGATTTAATGGCCTTCGGGTATGTCAGTAGTGTTTACTACCTATATAAGACGTTCACAAGTCTTAATATTTGGGTAAGTTATCCTTAGCATTACAATCCGGGGCTGGGCACATATATGTTGTGCCTGACAAACCCAGTTCAGACGACTTCCTGCTGAACGCACCGGGAGTTTTGGACGCAAATGGGGTCTACACCGATGATAACGGCATAATCACTAACTGTACGGCAATGAACTCGCAATCTGTGGGGTCAACCCTGAGCTTTGTATTGTCTGCCTGTGGTTATGATGTCTGGTTGGGTAACAACAGAGGCAACAGATATTCCGATCGACACATACTCTTGAATCCAAACACTGGTAATGAAAAATTAGAAAATTAAAACCGATTGTCCGTATAATTGAACTTTTAAAGACTCGAGGTATTGGGGGTTTAATGTGGACCACTTGAGTGCATACGATGTACCGGCTGTTATCTCATATATTTTAAGAGTTACAAATACACGTTAGTTTGTCATTCAATATTTCATTTGAAAACATCTAAACATTAATATAAATTTACGAAAACCATTNTTAAAGACTCGAGGTATTGGGGGTTTAATGTGGACCACTTGAGTGCATACGATGTACCGGCTGTTATCTCATATATTTTAAGAGTTACAAATACACGTTAGTTTGTCATTCAATATTTCATTTGAAAACATCTAAACATTAATATAAATTTACGAAAACCATTGAGAATTACAGAAAGCATTGGATATATCGGTCACTCATTGGGCACTTCAATGATGTTTCAATTAATGTCAACACAACCAGAATATTCACAAATCATTCGCCCATTCATAGCATTAGCACCGGTAGCTTATGTGGGCGCCATTGAATCAATAATCTTAAGACTGGGGGCACTATTAGAGCCATTATTAAGGTTTAACATGATCAACTCTATCAGTAATCAGTAAAATTAAATTTAAGTTAATTTCAAATGTCTTATATAACCAATAGCTCAACAAATATACCATTCTTTGGCGTGACCTCTAATAAGTTGAAGACAATTGACAGATATTTTGGACACTTTTTCTGCGGCAATACATTCTTCGATCAGTTCTGTGAGATCTTTGTCTTCCTATTGTGTGGTTTTGATTTTCCCAACACTAATGTCGTAAATAGAGTCACAAACTTGAGTGCATACGATGTACCGGCTGTTATCTCATATATTTTAAGAGTTACAAATACACGTTAGTTTGTCATTCAATATTTCATTTGAAAACATCTAAACATTAATATAAATTTACGAAAACCATTCAGAAAGCATTGGATATATCGGTCACTCATTGGGCACTTCAATGATGTTTCAATTAATGTCAACACAACCAGAATATTCGCAAATCATTCGCCCATTCATAGCATTAGCACCGGTAGCTTATGTGGGCGCCATTGAATCAATTATCTTAAGACTGGGGGCTCTATTAGAGCCATTATTAAGGTTTAGCATGATCAACTCTATCAGTAATCAGTAAAATTAAATTTAAGTTAATTTGAAATGTCTGGTATAACCAATAGCTCAACAAATATACCATTCTTTGGCGTTTCCTCTAATAAGTTGAGGACAATTGACAGATATTTTGGACACTTTTTCTGCGGCAATACATTCTTCGATCAGTTCTGTGAGATCTTTGTCTTCCTATTGTGTGGTTTTGATTTTCCCAACACTAATGTCGTAAATAGAGTCACAGGTTTTCAATTCATATGTAATTCACTTATATTTTATCATTAATTGTGTGAAATAGACGAGAATTCCGGCAATCATTGGCCACTTCCCAGACGGCACCTCCAGTTTGATTTTGGCTCATTTGGCACAACGAGTTAATAACAAGAACTTTGCTTATTATGACTACGGAAATGCTAAGAATGCCAGACTATACGGCCAGTCCAATCCACCTAGCTACAATTTAGCTCAAATAACGTCCAGAAATATTGCACTCATGACTGGTGTGAATGACTATTTAGCCGATCCCACAGACGTGGATATACTTCGCAGTCAATTAACAGGTTACTTTTTACATTTGCTATGAAATTTACAGCTTAGTTCAATATTGTATTATATTTTAATTAGTTTGATTTAGTAATCAAATATTAATTTGTTTTTAATAATAATACTTTATCATCTAATGGAAGTAATTAATTTACAGTGGTAATTTCACAGTTAAAAAATTATTATTAAAAGTAGAAAACTTATTAAACTTATAGAATATGAGATTAAATGTTGACACAAAAAATGATTATTTGTTAGCAAAATTACTAACACAAACTCTAAATGAAATTGTTTCACATCTATTTTTAGTGCCTAAAGTGATAATTATGTTTTTTAATCATAACATTTATTAAACTGATGCCTATGTTTGGTATAGTTCCCATATACGATGATTATGTGATCCCATATACCCTGTGGAATCACGCCGATTATCTCATTGGTATCAACGCCGGGAAGTTCATGAACTCCAGGATTCTTAAGATTTTATCGGATTTTAATTAAATTTTTATTTTGCTTAATATAAGATTAATTCAACCTTTAAATAAATAAATAATAAAAATTTAAAATCTAAAACATTTTATTTATGTATAAATTATATTTAACTCAAATTAATTAAGTGATAAAATTATTTGTTTAAGAAAAATAATATTAATATAAAAATAATAATTATTATTTTGAAAATTTGTTAATGACTTTTGGTTAAAAATAATTAACACGAAATAAAAAGCAAATGTCTGTCCAAAAGGGTTTGCCATCAAATCACGGCTTTCTGGCCTCAATGTGTGCCGATATGACAAACTCCTCGAGTCTCATACCGGGCGCCCAATCCTTAATGAATTCCCGGGACTCGTCTTTCGGTGTAATCTTAATGTCGATAAAACCGGCGCTTTTGAGGAACTCCTCCAAATCACTGACAACTGTAGCGCCGGCCAAACATCCGGCATAAAGTGCCAAATCCTTGCGCACCGACTCCGGGAGCTCCACATTCGTGACCACATCCG